TAAGTAGTAAAGTGCATGCTATTGCTATTGACAAAAAAGAAAAAACAATATAAATATATCTACATACACTCACACACACATACATACCGGCACCAAGGTTGTAAATGTGGTGGGTCACTCCATCAACCACGCCAGGCCCAACATTTAGTAAGAAGCTTTGAAACCATTCTTTACCATAGAAACCACCAGGGCCTAACACTTTAGGCCTTCTAGAAGCATCTGGGTATAGTAGATTAACTATACGTCTGAGCATAGTGATGTCTTTAGCATATTGAACATTGTCTACTCTAGCTCGTATCCCCTCAGCACATAGCTCATTTCCTATTAAGCATCATAAATCATAATGCACATGGGATCAATAGGAGAAAATAAAAAAAAAATAACATACGTAGAGATATATATGCATGTAATTCAAATATCGAAGGTTGAATCAAAATAATTGAAGATTTAATTTAGCTACCCAATTCATATGAATCTATTTTGTATCCTTTTAATATTTTGTACTTCATGAGACTTATGGCATTTTTTGGATTCCAGTTTCCAACCCAATTCAACTTGTCTTGTATGGAATTTTTCTTTCCTGTGAGAGCATTCAACCCAAAAATTAATTTCACTATGCAAAATAGGCAAATAAAGAAAACAAAAAAAATGCATGTCAAAATTGAATGTAGCACGCTACTAACATATATCATAGTACCTCTTGCTAAAAAAAGAATGGTAAAAACTGCAAAATAGGCAAATAAAGAAAACAAAAAAAATGCATGTCAAAATTGAATGTAGCACGCTACTAACATATATCATAGTACCTCTTGCTAAAAAAAGAATGGTAAAAACTAAACAAGTACCCAGTTTTGTTAAAAAACTGAGCCAACCCCTGGGTTTTTAGCCTTCCATTAAAACGGAAATACAAACAAAAATACAAGGCAGAGAAGAGAAAGAAATCAAAAATGCAAGGCAAAGAAGAGAAAGAAAACGAAAATGCAATGTATTCTTCAAATGTAAATATTCAAGTTCCACAACCAGAGAAGGCAAGAGAAGAACGAAAATGGCAGCTCAAAGAGAACAAAACGTAAAAGAAAGCAACCGGGAAAACCAAAACGTCCAGAACTGTAGCTACATGAGAGAAAACGTAAAAAAAAAACAAAAGAGAGGCAGCTCTACGTAGTCACATCAGACTCCCTCCTTAGTGGCTGCCAAGTCAGCCCTACCCTACCTAGACCTAAGTGACCTAAAACGAAATTAGGCCCAAAAACAATTACAAGTCTGACCCAACAACAATAAAATAGACTAAAAACAAAATATGAATGCTGAGGTGGAAAATGGTGCAACAGTGACATGGCAGATGACGTGGCAGCTCCACTTGAAGTCCAGAAATTAATTCCAAGACCAAATAATTATTAAACTACCCTGAAAATAAAATTTGGAATAATTAGATTCAGAAAATTCAAATTAGTTAAAATATGAATTACCGGTCCAATTAAAGCCCAATTAAAAAATAGTGCAGAATATCAACAATTAAGCACAAATCAGAGATTAAAATAAGTACAGAAAGGTAAGAAAATAAGGGAAAATAATGACTCATTTTTCCCAAATAATTGTAACACTTTATGATATGCTAATTATTTTTCTATAGAATGGTGTTGTTAACATCTATATGAATAGTTTTTTTTTGTGAAGACAAAATAAGGGGAGAAAAAAAAGAAAAAAAAAAGACATTTTGAGATAAATGAGCTTACCCCTTTCTTTGAGCAATGAGCGGATGCACGCAAAAATGGTGATCCTTCGTGGGAAACTGAAAGCACTTTGCTTCCCATAAGTCAATGCCATAAAAGCGCTCTGATTGATCAAACTACGTTTTGATTAGAATGACACGTGAATCCATAACTAAGTCTTGGTCACTTAGGTTGTTTGATAAATTTTTGTAGAATATTAACTTGAGAAATATAACAGATAAAGCATGTTGGTTGTGCATGCTAGGGTAAGTTTTAAATGAATTAGACATTCATTAGTAGCGAGTGCCTCTCCCACACAAATGAAACACGACTTACCTATAATAATTCGGGTTAGGAATGAAGCTTGTTGTGTTTAGAAAATCATAGTTTCCTCCAACTAGAGTTTGTCTACAATAAACCTTGTGGTTTAAGGTTGATGTCATGTCCAACTAGTCCAAGTACCTATTTATATTAAGTTAAGAGATCTTAACATGTATAGTTGCGGAATTTTGAAAAAGAAACAAAAAAGAACTCAATTCATTAGCATATTAGACCGACCAAAACCCATTAACAAAAGTGTGAGACACATCTTTGCTACCACTATTATAGGCTCCACCAGCTTCCCTAACCCATGGTGCTGCCCACGGTGTGAATTCCTTGACTACTTGAGCAATATTTTTGAAAGTTTCAGCAACTTGACTCAAGAAATATGGGTCTTGAATCTTGTTGATAACATCCTTGTCAACACCTTAATTCATTTGGAATAAATATTGTTAGAAGCAAAACAATCACTAAGAGAAAAGTAGTAAAGTGCATGCTATTGCTATTGAAAAAAAAGAAAAAAAATATAAATATATATACATACACTCACACACACATACATACCGGCACCAAGGTTGTAAATGTGGTGGGTCACTCCATCAACCACGCCAGGCCCAACATTTAGTAAGAAGCTTTGAAACCATTCTTTACCATAGAAACCACCAGGGCCTAACACTTTAGGCCTTCTAGAAGCATCTGGGTATAGTAGATTAACTATACGTCTGAGCATAGTGATGTCTTTAGCATATTGAACATTGTCTACTCTAGCTCGTATCCCCTCAGCACATAGCTCATTTCCTATTAAGCATCATAAATCATAATGCACATGGGATCAATAGGAGAAAATAAAAAAAAAATAACATACGTAGAGATATATATGCATGTAATTCAAATATCGAAGGTTGAATCAAAATAATTGAAGATTTAATTTAGCTACCCAATTCATATGAATCTATTTTGTATCCTTTTAATATTTTGTACTTCATGAGACTTATGGCATTTTTTGGATTCCAGTTTCCAACCCAATTCAACTTGTCTTGTATGGAATTTTTCTTTCCTGTGAGAGCATTCAACCCAAAAATTAATTTCACTATGCAAAATAGGCAAATAAAGAAAACAAAAAAAATGCATGTCAAAATTGAATGTAGCACGCTACTAACATATATCATAGTACCTCTTGCTAAAAAAAGAATGGTAAAAACTAAACAAGTACCCAGTTTTGTTAAAAAACTCATGTACTTCAACCCATCTCATTCTGGGAAGGCATGCTGTGCTGAAACCAAAAAGACCACCTTCTCTCTTCTTGAAATGAAGGCATTTCTTTTGCTTCCCAAATTGTTAAACAATCTGATCTTCCACTGAGCCTCCTAATCTGATCCTTAGGGGACTAAATGTTGTAAAAGTTTGGAATGATAGGTAATGTGAAATGCATAAACTAATATTGTCTACACATGATCATATGATATATGTTATAGACATTTGACAATTAAAATGTCACATCTTACCTGCACTGAACTAAAGAACGAGGATGACAAAAAATGATTAATACAAAATCAAACAACCTAGTGTCGCCACCGGCCCCAAACGGGCTTTCGGCATTCGC